TTGCCTGAGGAACACAAGGCTGGGAGGGAGGTACAACACATGAACATCACTTTCCTTTGAACCTGGACTTTGCTTGTCCTGTCTGAGATACTAACAGTGACACTGGGGGCAACTAAAGTCTCTTCCTTAGAACAACCTTCATCATGGATGGCATGCCGTCTTTGGTTAAGAACTTGGTAAAATCTCAAACTGCTTTGAAGGCTAACATGCATTTCACTTCCCTCTATGTGACAGCTGGGCCTCGCTTTGCGTATCCATGAGTCCCAAGGATGGCGATAAGACAGCCATGGGAAAGATGTTTGCTAAACTTGGTCCAGCGTTCACAGAGCTCATTCCTCTGTTGTGTGTTTCCCGGGCTTTCTAAGAAAACCTGGAGTTTTGTGATGGAGCAGCTATGCGTACGGACGTCACTGGTGCTAGCCAACCACCCGCCACACGTGGGTCTGAGTTTCCGCTGAGTATTGGATTCTGCAATGGCACACTCGGCTTTCCTGGAAAGGGTTGGTCCTGCGTGCGCCCACACTGGCGTTGGTCAATCACAGCTCTTTTCTCTTCATTCCTGGAAGTGGAGAAACAAGGAATGTTCCTTATTCTCAATAATAGTTTTGTTTTTTTAAGGATAGCACTGAATTTATTTGTTGTATGAAAAGTCACGCTGTTTAAATAGAACTGTATTGGGAACCCAGGAATCTTGTTCTTAGGTCTCGACTCTGTCCCTAAGTAGGCGAGACAAGTTGGGTGGGTTTAATGTTGCTCATCTATGACATGAAGAAATATGAAAACCAAACATGTTTGGCTTTATTCCAAATTGTATAATTCAGTGTTACCCACTCAGACTTGGAGAGTATAGACATGTGTGTTCCTATAATAATCACTGTTTATTATAGGAATAATGATTATTATTCCTATAATAATCATTGTTTTTAAAATCTTATTTTTGTGTGTATGGGTGTTTTGCCTGCATGTATATCTGTGGACCACATGCATGCCTGGTGCCTTGAAGGTTGGAAGAGGTAACTGATCCCTGAAACTGGAGTTACAAATGGCTTGAGCTGCCACGTGTGTGCTGGGAACCCAGCCTGAGTCCTCTGAAAGAGCAACAAGTGCTCCTAATTGTTACGCTATCTCTCCAGCTCCTCCTTGTGTAATTTTTAACAACAAATGCCATTGATCAATTCTTTTGGGTCCATGTCTCATACAAAACATGTGTCTTCATCTCTGAATTCAGCTTTTCTATTCAAGTCCTATCAAATTTTATTTGGTACAACCTGAACATTTATTCTTCTCTCCAACATTTCTTGCATTTTCCAAGATCATTTGGTGAGGAAATATTTTCAAGCTGTGTACAATGAATCCATGTTTGGGGTTATAACAACTCAGTTGTCAATAAGAATTATTTGCTGTGCTAATATTGATGTGGGAAGTAAGGGGATGTGCTGTTTAAAAATATTACATGAGACTTTCTCAGAATAAAGAAATTGAGTGGTTTCTCACGTCAGTAGAAATCACTCCCAGCAAATGATGCAATCTCTGGACACAGGGAGAGATGCAATAGCTTTGGTATCCAAGCTGTAGAAATAGTGTATTTATCATAATGAAAGACATTGGGAAACTTGGTCATATTTATTGAAAATGTGAATAAATTAACAGATTATGCTTCCTTAAAGTCCATCAAAAAGATCCTTCACACAATCTCTGCAGTGGTGATCTAAGTATTGCATGAGGGTCAGAGGCTCATTACTTACTAAATAAATATATGATGATATCCTTGAGACACGAATCCTAAAGACAGCCTTCCGAGCAACGTTGTGACATCTGAACAGTGAACTTAAAAATGATGTTTTATGTTTTTACCCAACAGAAATATTGTCTTTATTTCACAGGTAAATAAATGAGGACAAAGCTAGAAGCATTTGTATTTAGGCAGTAATGTATAAAACACGATCTACTCATGTGAGAAAATTGTTCACGAAATAAAAAGCAGTATACATTTTAGTATAAAAGTTGAAAAAGATCAAATGCTATGTGTGTGTGTGGCATATGCAGACACACATATGCACATGCATGTATGTGCAGCTCTCGTAGCCACAGAATGTTGGTTTTCACATCAGCATTGCCCTGAAGACGCTGTCTATGGTTAGGACCTAGGGATCGCCTACCTCTCTGACTCATGTCACACGCTTTGCTTGGTCCTCTCCCTGAAGTAACCACCAATTTTATTTTAAACATTCTAATTACATTGACTTATTCATGTGAAGGGAGGCGTGTGTGTGCGCATGCCATGGCACATATGTGGACGTCAGAGGACAACTTGTGGGAATCAGTTCTCCTCTTCACCATGTGGGTCCCCGCAGTTAGACTCATATCCCAAGTCTTGGCAATAGGTGCCTTTGATGCCGAGCCATCCCGCCTGTAGCCCAAGTAACCTGTCCTTCCCACCACACCGCATGCATTCTCCTGTGATTTTTCCTATGGGTCTTATCATTATGAAGTGATACATAAAGCCAATGGGTCCAACTCATTTGCTTTCCCTGCTGTTTTATCTTCCCCTGCTTGAACACAGCTCCCCTTAGTGACTCATTCTCCTGAAAAAGTCTATTTCAAGTCTGAGTGAAACAGCAAATGTGTTCATTTCATTTTAATCTTTAAAGAGCAGTACTCAGAATCATTCTGTTATATTTTTGACTGACTTGGTAGAACTATGTTTACCAAACAGTTCAACCCTATCCTTAAATACAGATCGTATAGAGAAACAGGGATGAAAGTGTGTGTCATCCCCATAGTCCCATTTAGCTGGACAATGGTCTAGGCTCTGTCAGTAGCAACAAACTTGACTTATCTGGTAAAATAACCCCAGCTCACCAACCTTGCATTTCTTCCTCCATGCTGATTGTGTTCTCTTATATAAAATCTTACCTCATTAAGCAGACATTCCGGTAGGATTTTGTTACAGATAATGGTTTCTTTGCTATGTACTTCATGTTCTTACAATAGGTCTGGAATCGTTAGTCAGGTATGCAGGCCTGGTGCGTGATTTGCTCACTAATGAAAACAGAAATGCTCATTGGCTCAAGACAGGGTAATGTTAATAGACATAAACTATTTCTTAAAAGTCAGGCATCTCCACACATTCCTTACTCACGACATGCGAGAAGTCATTTGGTCGTTGTCTACCTGGTGGAAGAACCTCAGCCTGGGCAACTAACATTTTGGGATTATCTGGCAGAACATTTATTGTGGTAACGAGAAAGAAACGTGGAACATGCCCTTCTTTTAGTACTGTGACATTCATTTACACTTAGATTTTTAATTAATTGATTAATTGAGGCAATGCTGACTGAACCGGGGCCTTGTACATGGGAGGCAGTCATTTTACCACTGGGCTATCTATAGCTCTAGCTGCCGAGTGTGCTCTCACCCCCCCTTTTCTTTTGCTGCTGCTTAGTTGTTATTATTATTATTTTATTTTGAGACAAAGTCTCACTAAGTTGCCTAGGCTGTCTTTAAATGTACTCTTTAGCCCAGATAGGCCATTGACTTAAAATTTTTCTGCCTGATGATTAGCTGGGATTACAGGCCTGCATCACCAGGGCCAGCAAACCTTATATTAAAATTAATTGAAAAATTGTCCTACTCTTAAACATATTAACAAAACATGTATATTCTGTTATTCTATATGTACATAACTCCCTTGTAGTTGAGCACTAAGAGCCAAGGCCATTTTGCTTTGGGGCCACTGGGGTTGAATCCAGAGATGAGCCTTGCTCTGAAACCCTTCCATGACAGTTCACTAGTGTCTTCCCCTGGAACCCTTACTGAATTTGTGTATTGTATGTCCCCGGCTCTGTGATGGCATGGCCTTCAACATGGTAGGATGAAGTTCCCTCCCAGATTATAAATTTGAGACTTTTTACCAGAACTCGTATTTTCGTGAGTTGGGATTGTAAGTGTCAGTTTTCAGAGGCTGGTGCCACTGTCATTTCAGAGAAGGCTGTGATTCTGTGAATGGAATGTTTCTAGTGCTCAGGTCCCTGAGAGCCCTGTGAAAACGCAAGGGCCAGGGCATGGCGCACTGCCAACCTTGGTCTCTCATTCAACACATTTGATGACTAGGAAAAGATACTTCAGAAAAATGGGGAGCTGCTGACATGGCTCAGCAGAGGGAGACATTTGATGTGAAAGCCCTGGCACCGGGGAGTGACCCTCAGAATCACAACATACCTTACAAAGTTGAGGTCTGTCTTCCACTTCCACTCTGTGGCACGCTTTCCCCCGCAACATAACACAACATATGTACATGTGTATGTACATACATGCTAATTTTGTTTCCATTATTACAAAGGGGGGGTGTTACTGTAAGACACCATGGAATGAGCAGTTTTCCTAGAGTTGGCCAAGCTACTGCATATATTGGAAACACATTGTTTGTAGTATTAATCATTGTACATCCAGTGTCCCTATTTCCTTAAACGTGCTACGGCTTCTTATCTTTAGGACTTGTTTTCAACAAGCACTTCAAGGCCCAGCACGAGCTGTGCCTCCTCCCCACAAGCTTTATACATTGCTTTTCTGCTGGTTCCCTAGGCCGGTACCAAACTGGGGCTCGACTGGGTAGCTCTTTTGGCTTTCGCCATCTTCGGGTCTCTCCAGGGACTGGGGTGTTCTCTAGTCAGTCATTGGGCAAAGTGCTAATTCATTCCAGATCTGAGCTGGAAAATGACTCCTTGAGAAAACATGCCCCAAAGCCCCGGCGCTGGCCTCCCCAGTGTTTCCCACATTGTAATCAGATAATGAACTGTGTTGCTCCTTGTTTCTCTTGGCATCCGAGAGTCTTTTGACTTGGGTATCAGGCTGGTTTAGCCCTCTGCAATCAGAGCATAATGAAGCCAACAGTCGTCTTCAGTAGCTACTTATGGAAGCCACAAGTGCTCAGTGGGGGAACACTGGTGTTGGTGTGACTGTTGCTGAAGTTCAATTGCATCTTCTCTCTCTCTCTTCAGCTGGGAAGTTGTCAATTCCAAGCCAGATGAAAGACCAAGACTGAGCCACTGCATTGCAGAATCATGGATGAATTTCGGCCTGTTTCTTCAAGAAATGTCTCTTTTCAAACAGCAGAGCCCTGGCAAGGCAAGTTTTTTTTTTTTTTTTTTTTTTTTTTGCAAGGCAAGTTTTGGAATCCTCAGTGTAGCGTGGGAATGAATGAGGTGACCTGTTTTGCTGGTAAAGATGCGAATTTGAAACAACGGAAGCATAGGAGTTGGCTTCAACAAGGCTCAGATGTGGTCACATGTGAAACTCTTGAGCATTTATAGGGATTGACTTAGCTCATTACTAGAAGGAATTATGATTGGGCTGTGTCATTCTTAAAACCAAAAGGGAATGGAAAGAATTGTCATTAAGAACGTTGGTTATCATCTGTCCTCTAGTTTTGAAATCGAAGGCAGTTGAGATAAGCATGTAGTCCTTCTAGGGTTTCCGAGGTAATCGAAGCTATCTAAAGCTATTGTGGAGATCCTGGTTCGCTTTATTTTCAGGAAGCTTGCTGAATGTGGTAGATCACAGCAACCCCAACACTTTGGTAGGTAGGAGGATCATGAACTCAGGGTCAGCCTGGGTTACCCTACAAGATCCCCATCCTGAAATAACAAAAGAGAGAAAGAATGAAGAACCAAACAAGCTTTGGCAAAAACATTGATTCTGGTTATACAACTGGATAAGATTTTGTTGTTGTTGTTTTTTCTGATTAAGATAAAAACTCACTCAGGGAAGAGTCTCACGTGATGAAAGGGATTGCAGAGTGAAGGGCACAATTGAAGAATGCGACCTGTGGCTTTTCTGGGGAGGGGCAGTACCATCACCAGACCTTGCTGGTTCCAGTGCTTCTTTTAAGGTTGAATTATCCACAAGATCTTGAGGCAATCTCATAACTTCGCCGTATTAAGTAATAGAACAGCCCATGGGAACATGTGTGCATATTGAGATGGCAGTGCTGTGTCTGTAAGGATTTCTTTAACAGCGAACACTCAGTGTAGAATTGACACACGTGAGGGCCTTGGTAGATTGTAGTGCTTAGTTTGCTTGTGGAGGTTTCTGTCCTGCCTGGTTCCCATAGTCATTAAGTCCCAAAGAAATCACACAGAGATCTACATTAACTATAAACTGATTGGTCCATTAGCTCAGGCTTCATATTAACTCTTATAACGTCTATTATCCCATTATTATTGTCTATGTTAGCCACATGGCTCAGTACTTTTTTCAGTGAGGCAGTCACATCTTGCTTCTTCTGTGGCTGGGTCAGGACTGCAGAGAAATGGGCTTCCTCCTTCTCAGAATTCTTCTGTTCTCATCGACCCACCTCTACTTTCTTAGTTGTCCCACCTATACTTCCTGCCTGGCTACTGACCAATCAGTGTTTATTTAAAATATAATTGACAGAATACAATTGTCCCACACCATTAGTTGACCAACATGACATGATCATATATATTTTGAGAATATTCTGAACTTAAGACATCTGCTTTGGATTATATTAACGTGCCCCAAGGCCATTAGTTAAGGGTGATGATGCAATAGGATATAGGTGATGACAAATCCTTTCTCAAAGCCAGCTTCTGGGTCCATGACTATATCATTATGGCCTTATTTCTTCCTTCGGCTTTGGACATTGCTTCATTTCTAGAATTTCATTTTCTTTCAAGGACCCATACTTTTTTTTAATTAGGTCCTTAATTTTGTTCCATGTGTTCACCTACAATTTATTAGCCAAATGGAATGAAATACTTGTTATTTTGAAATTGAGTCCTTATTCTTTTTCTTAATATTTCTAGACCAGAGATATGTATTTCTTCCTAGTTTTGAAAACTCGCCCCAGTGAATTTGCATGGCACTTTAATTCAGTACTTAAATTTAAAACTGCATAAAAATGAGATGGTTTATGATCTTTTAAAAAAGATCATATTTTTCTATCTTGATGTTTCTCGTGTGACAGTTTTCTATAAATTCTAAAATTTCTCAAGACAGCCAAAGATTTTGTGTTTTGCTTTGTGATTGACAGAGAGGGGGGAAAGAATTAGATATCACTACAGAAGTTCCTGTTCACTTGCATTTAGCTCTGCGGTAACCTAGATGTAGGCGGATACAGTTAGGAAGGATTACATGTTCACAGATTTGTGCCAGAGGTTTTCCAGCAGAACAAATGACGTCAGAGTCATATAGCTACACCTATAGCAAGCTTTGGCCTGTCTGTGGATCTTAATGGTTTTACAGTAGTAGTCAAAGTACAGATTTACTTATGAGGCTTAGCAAAGTTGTTCCTGGGGACGTGTTACTATTTGAGTCTCTTGCACCTGGCAGCAATACATCAACAGGCCTGAGTAAGGGAACTTGCCATTGTTAGTGCCAGAATTAGCTCCTCTGCCTGCAAATTGTTTGTTATGAAGTGTTAAAATGCCTCTGTAAGGTTTCTAAGTACAAAGGGGGCTGTTCAAGAAACATAGGATACATAATGAAACATGTATAGATATATATCATGCATGTATTCTACAGTGTCTTGAAATAATTGTCCCATGCTATTTCTGTTACTTCTAGTTTTGTCTCCTGGTCTGCAGTGTGTGCACATTTTTTACAATCTTGGGAAGTTACATTCCTGGGGTCATACTCAGCTACCTACTGTGTAAGTATTGTAGTAAAGTATAGTGTACTTTGCTAATTTGTGGGACGCATACGACATCATTGGTGCTAATCAGATCTTCTGTAGTTTGGAAGAGAATAGGTGCGCTCTGAATTATTAAACAAATCAGAATTGTCACCTAATGTCTGGTATTTCTTGTCTCTAGAGACATTGATATATAAACAGTTGGGAGAATAGATGTAAAATGCAGAATCAAAGAATAATGTTAAATTATATCATTGAATGCATAACTAGGCAATATGCTCCAGGCTGCACATAGTCCTGCACTTTTGCCTTCTTCTATTTTCTCTGGCACCAAGGATAAAGTCACAATGAGATACCAGGTAGCTATGCCAGCAACATCAAATATTAGCGATGGTATAGGACAACCTGACTTCTTGCTTGTTAGTGGTAGGTTAGTAGAATAGTGCAATCATCTCAGAAAACTGTATGGCTGGCTACCCCAGAGTTAAGTATTACCCAAGAGAGACAGCTGGATACATCTCCTCAAATACTCACACACACATGTTCATCGCAGGCTTGCTTTTGGTAGCACAAAGGAATACAGTTTGTATAAGCCTTCCAGAGACACAGATAAACCGTGTGTGTGATCCCAGCGCTGAACACTGATACATGCAATACTGTGGATAAATTTCAAAGTAATTAGACCGAATGGGAGAAGCCAGAGCATGCACTATACAGTTGTATTTGCATATAACCCCAGAACGTTCAAAATAAAGACTAGTGAAGAAGTAGACCCACAGTTGCTGGGATGGATTGGGTGGGGTCAGGTCAGGTAGAGGCGAAAGGTAGAAAGGGAGGATTAATGAAGACATGAGAATGCGTGCCTGCACTAAACTGTTCACTGTCTCGATTGTTTCAGGGACTCTTAGTTGTTTACATGTCAAAACTTACCAAATTGTGTACTATATGTGTAGTCTGTTATATATGAATTAAAACCCTAAAAAGATCTTCAAATTAAATATTCTGCTTTTCCTAAAATACATGAAGATCTGGTGCTGTTACCTCTGGGTTAGACAGTACCTCTGTCTGCTAACCTCACAGTTCCTTTCTCACGCTGGCTTCCGAGTTTCACTGGGCTCTAAGGCTAACTGAGTAAGAGATGACATTGCCCAACAACAAAATAACGAACACTGAAAATACAGTGCAGCCAGTGTGGCCACTTCCTTCTTTGTGTGTTCCTAATGCATGGCACACCTCGCAGCTGGCTGCAGCTCAAACTCAGTCTTCAGAGAGAACTCATGGACTTGATCTGAATTATGTAGGGAAAAGTGAGAAAAGTTCTGGACAGGAGAACTAGGAGCAAGACATTCCTACCTGGTTTGTGCTGAGTTCAAATACAAGCCCAGCAACCTCATGGGACACCTTCCCAGTATTACTGAAAATAAGCTAACAATAGGAACTTATTTCCTCTTGGTAAACGGCAATAGTAAATAAAGGTACGATGCCAGTTGTAGTAAATAAAGGTACGATGCCAGTTGAGAGCTTAAATTTTCAAGGTAGACAATTAAGAGAGAAAAAAAATCAACCTAATACCAAAGTTTAAAAACAATAGCCGTGAATGTGGTGTGTGTGTGTGTGTGTGTGTGTGTGTGTGTGTGTGTTTAGTAAAATGTCTTTTCATCATAGAGTAATAATAGAAAACTTACCTGATGGAGGGGTTACCCTAAGAACAAAGTTGCTATTTTCCCCATGTATTAAGCAGTATCTTGTAAAATACTAAAATGTCAGCATTCGAAACAAGCCCTTTACCCATGTGATTTTCTTCTTTATATTTCAGTACTGTTCGCTTTCTTGTGTCCACTGTTTAAATGTAATGACATTGGACAAAAAATCTACAGCAAAATCAAGTCCATTCTATTGAAACTAGATTTTGGAATCGGAGAATATATTACCCAGAAGAAACGTGAGCGATCTGGTAGGTACAGCTTGATTTTAGTTCTCGGCATGAAATGAGACCTTTCTTCAATGGTGCCAGAAAAGTCAGCCCACCAAAGTGTAACCTGTGTAGTTTTCCTTTATATAGGATTTATTCTTTTCTCAAACGTACAGTTAAGTAAAATTTAAACTATGCATTGTGCATGTTCCTAGTGGCCAAGAGGGCATGGAAAGGTTTTGAGAGTCAGAGGCTGGGGGCACTGCTGCAGGACAGTAGCCCCAGTCAGGAACCCAGTTAAACAGAGACCCAAGAAACACACTGGAGTGTGCCTGTCAGTGTTCAGTCCTGGAAGGCAGAAGGGCTCTTGAGTTCCCACCCATCTCTGAGGAATGATTGACAGCTAGCAGTGGCTGCAGGAAGGGTGTCACTTTCTGGGTAGTGTAGCACTGATAAGTTGCCCATGTTTCAGTATAACTCCCCTTCCCTACCCGGTGCTCATGCAGGCAGCCCTGCTTAAGTTCGGGTCACATGCAATGATGGCAAGAAAGGAGGAAGGAGACACGTGGGGAAGAAGGGCTTCAGTAGGAAGATAGGGAGGAGATGGGGTGACAGAAACGTGAAGGGTTGAAGTCCACTGCACACAAATATAAAGCTGTCAATGGACAAAAGCATAAATAGATCGCAGAACACACTGCAGAGCACACACATTGGCAGGGGAAGGAGAAAGGGCTTCAACAGCTCTGTTTTGTTACTTGTGATGCACTTGTTTTAATTTGGGTTGGATTATTGAAAATGTAAGGGGTAAGGGTAAGTGTGGGTGCCATGTAAGAGCAGACTGAATTAACAAGGGAAAGAAAAGGGGGCGGTTCTAATGTGATTTAAAAAATTAAATATATCATATAAGATTATCATATATCTATCATCTATCTATCTATCTATCTATCTATCTATCTATCTATCTATCTATCTATCTATCATTTGTGGCTTTAGAGTTTCTCAGACTATAGTATGCAGCAGAATGACCTGAAGGAGCATGCAGCATAGAGTATGGGCCCCACCACAAAGGAAGTCTAGGATAGCGGCCAAGAGCTTATATTGCCCCCAAGTCCCCAGAGCTGCTGCTGCTGGCTAGTGCTATAAGAACATAGATGTCCATCATTTCCCCTGGAAAGCAATTGTTTGCAAATATGTGAAGTTCTTCAGTACAGACAATTATAGGGAAGGGCTAGAAGGTATGGTTGGATATGCGGAGAATATATATTAAAATAAAGGCACTATATCCTGAGTTTAGGAGGAAACTAAATGCTTCCTTTTTTCCCCCTCAACAGCAACAGATAAAGAAAAAAGTCCCAAGGATGACAGCGAATTAGACTTTTCAGCTCTTTGTCCTAAGGTATTTTTGGTCAATTTGTGTCTGTGTGGTTCGGCCATTTATTTACAGAAAGTACAATGATTTCTAATAGACATATATAACTTGGATCCTGATTATCAAGATGGTTGGATAATCTCAAAGGAAGAAGTGCTCATTCTTTATTTTAAAATTTAGTGGGTTAACATGGACTCTTTAAAGGGTCTTCTTGAGTTTGAAATGTGCCATGGCTATTTCTCTTGACGCAGATTAGCCTCACCGTTGCTGCCAAAGAGTTATCTGTGTCTGACACAGACGTGTCCGAAGTATCTTGGACTGATAATGGGACCTTCAACCTTTCAGAAGGGTACACTCCACAGACAGACACTTCTGATGGTAAGCTGATGTGCCCGGGTTCTCTTACTTTTATTGGTATTGAATAAATGTAATGGTACTCCAATTCTGTCAGCCACCTAATGGGTAAATAAAATGTGGAGTATTTGCACAATGGAATGTTGCTTGGATTTAAAAGTGACTGAAGTACTGATACTTGCTATAGCATGTGTGAACCTTGAAAACACTGTGACATAGTTCCTGTTCCATGATCATATGTATCTTCTTTGGCTTAAGATAATTACCATATGGGCTGGGGAGATGGCTCAGATGTTAAGAGCCCTGGCTGCTCTTCCAGAGGTCCTGATTTCAATTTCCAGCAACCACATGGTGGCTCACAATCATCTATAATGAGACCTGGTGCCCTCTTCAGGCCTGCATGGATAAATGCAGACAGAACACTGTATACATAATAAATAAATCTTTTTAAAAAGACATAGATAGATAGATAGATAGATAGATAGATAGATAGATAGATACCATCTTCAGGAAGGATGCAATTATTATGATGAACACTATATTAGTTACTTTACCCATTGCTGTGACAAAGACCCGATCGATGAAAGCAACTCAGAGAAGCCTGGATTTGGGCTTAGAGTTTAGGCGCAAAGCTCAGCAAGGTAGGAAAGCATGGTGGCGAGTGCTGCTCTAGCTGCAGTGGTGAGAACATGAAGCTGATGGTCACATTGCGTCTGCAGTCTGGAGGCAGGTATCAATGCATCCTGGTGCTCAGCTTGCCTCCTCATTTTCTCGTCTTTTTATTCAATCCAGTCTCATGGACTTAGTTCTTGAGATGTTGCAGACCACAATCAGGGTGGGTTTTCCCTCCCTGTTAAACCTCTCTGGAAACATCTTCATGGACATGCCCAGAGGTGTGTCTCCTAGGTAATTTCAAGTCCAATCAAATCGACAATGAGGAGTATCAGAAACACCAAAACTTTAGTTAAAGCCCAGAGCTAATACTAGGCAAAATTTATTATACATTATTTCTTGCAATAGGAAACCCAAAGGTACAGGAAGGACTTACAGTGTTTGTCTTCTTGCCAAGAGATACTGCCATAGAGTCAGCAGGGGTCCAAATGTAGGTTAAAATGATTCTGGTACACCGAGGATGCTGGATGAACATGAAGTTGCTCAGAGGCCTCAGGTCAAGTCATTTTAGACAACTCTTACTTCAGATGTCTTGTGGCACTTATGCGTGAATCTCTGTTACACATTTTACAGACCTTGACCGGCCCAGTGAGGAGGTTTTCTCTCGAGATCTTTCAGATTTTCCATCTCTGGAAAATGGCGCGGGAACAAACGATGAAGACGAGTTGAGCCTTGGCTTCCCCGCCGAGCTCAAGAGAAGAAAGCAACAACTGGACGGTGGGCACAGACCAAGCAAAGGCGGCCAGTCGGCAGCTGGCCTTTCTCTTCCTCTGAACAGTGACCAAGCCCTTCACTTGATGAGCAACCTGGCTGGTGATGTCCTCACAGCGGCAATGACTGCTGCCATCAAAGACCAGCTCGAAGGGGCCCAGCAGGCTCGTGCTCAGGCTGCATCTACTATAGGAGAGGACACAGACACCGAAGATGGTGATGACTTTGAACTACTTGACCAGGCAGAGCTAGATCAAATTGAGAGTGAACTGGGACTCACACAAGACCAAGACGCAGAAGCTCAGCACAGTAAGAAGTCTACGGGCTTCCTTTCAAATCTCCTTGGCGGCCATTAACCTGGGAATCAGCTTGCAGCAAAGCACAGACGAACCACCCAAAAATTTCAAACAAGCAGGGAAAACAAACAAAAAAAAAAAAAAGGAAAACAATTGTATTGTAAGCTTTAATTACTTCAGATTTTTTTTTGTTTTCTTTTCCTTTCTGTAGTGAGTTGGATATGTATCAACTGATGATAGACTGACATTTCTGATAGCCATTTTTATGTAATAAGCATGGAAATGAACTTTATAGTATATGAACTATATAGTATATATACATACTGTGGTGTCATAAGTGAAGAGGGGTTGTTTTTAAAGAGAAGAGGAAAAACCCACCCAAACCCACCCAACTTCAGATAGTTCTATAAGTATTCTTCATTATCATTTTCAAGCATGCCAAGATTTATCACAACTTGCTGAAAAGTAACAATTGTGAACAAATGTTGTATCACCTCCCGTATTGCTTATACTTGGAAGTAGTTTTTCAAACCTCATTAGATTTTAATGAAAAAAAGGAGAAATTATCAAAATGTTTGTAGTTTGAAGGGCTTGGGAAATGCTATCAAAATTAATTTTCTAGGAAAAACCTTAAAAATAAGTCCTACCTATCTGCTGAACTATGTCCGTGTTATTTCTGCAGCTGTAGACCGAGGCTTACTGGTAAAGTGCCGTTCTCCACGACGGCCACATCTAACCTTGCAAGGGGTGTATCGACCCACAGGAAGCAAGCAGCTATGAATCCTAGAATGATGCTCTGGTTTCGTTCCTTTTTGTCATGTTTGCAATGGGGCAGATGTAAGAGCAGATCTCTTTCGCACACTCAGACGCAAGTAAAACCTGATGTTTTTGTCTTGTGTTTGGCCTTCTAAGATTGTGAAACGAGCTGCTGCCGCGCGTCCTGTGAGCAATGTGGCCATTCGTGATGAGAACAACTGTTTTTCTTTTCAGTTTGCAGGTGTAGAGGAGAGAAACTTGCTTGAATTTTAAAGTTTATATCTTGTCACTGCAGTCTAAATATGTAATCTGTTTCTTACTGGGAAGCTAGAATATATTTTTTCTTTAAAATTTTTGATCATCTTTACATATTCAAATTTGACTTACAGTGGAAACCAAGATAGTTGTTTTTGTGAAACGATCTTTTAGTACTGGGGGACCATGTCAGCAACTATCTTAAATCTTCAGTTAGAGCTGGCATTTCTACACAGACACACATGAGCCTTAGCAGGGAAGGGTTATCTAAGACCTTAGAAAGCTGTGTTCTCTTTTGGTTTCATCCCTTTTATTTCTAAAGATTACTTACAAGCAACTTGAAATTTTAATGTACCATCTCTTATTTATTTTTTCTTTGTGAGGTATTAAAATATCTATCTATCTATCTATCTATCTATCTATCTATCTATCTCTATTGCCAAATGTAAAAGGGAGAGAAGTTACTGAAGACTTTGAAGGCTTGCCTTTTTTTGATTGATGTTCTATGCTTATGTCGTTAGTGCCTCACAACTGTGTTCGGTGTCCTTTATTCATACAAAGTGAGCCTGTGCCTTCATTATCTTGCCCGTTTTGGTACCAGTGTAAATTTGTGTTTGAAAACCTTGGAACTGTGTGAGTCTGCGAAGACTATATCTGAATTCTATTCAATACATTTGTTGGATGTGAAGAAAAATACAGCCACATATTTATAAAATAGTTGTTACCAGTACTTCTTCCTATGTGTTCGTTTTTTTTTTCTATTTAAAAAATACCCTTAGTCGTCACATTAATAAAACAACAAAGGTCACCCAGTGTCTTCACTAAAGAACAAACAAGAATTTTAATGGTCAGCCATGGAAGAACGTGTGTGAAGTCACTCGCTACGCGTACAAGATAAACTAAAAAAATGCTGAATCATGATAGTTTGGACAAAAAGAAATCCAATCTAAAATATTACTAGATACAAAGTAAATGTTATAGGGGAAAATAGTCCCTGTCGAGGGGGAGTGCCAGAGGGGTGCATGGTAGTCTCCTGCATTTCAGCATGACCTGTTCCAGAATCTGTGATCATCCGTTTACATAGGACAGAAAGAAAACTCCACTCAGACTTTTCGAATGTAGGATGTTGAGGTGTTTGTGTGCTTTCTGTGGAACAGTGCTTCTACTTTTAGGCTATCGTAGCGAATAAACTCCAAGAGTGAACCAGTCCAGCAGGGAACTGCATATGTGTTGCCGTGAGAACGTAGACAAACTGTAGTATTTTCTCAGTATGCCAACAGCTGGATCAGGAAAGGCATGTAAAGTCTGGGTGGAACTCATTAAAATCTGAACTATTTTAATTGCTGAGGAGTTACAGAAAAAGTTTTCTCATTTCCTAGAGAAAAGGCTGTGCAATGGGAACAGCACACATGGACCATATATTTTGGTAAGAATCAATGAAGCACTGCTTAAGAAGTCTGAGGTGGAAGGTTAGTCGGGGCCTGCATGTTGTCCTTCTAAATCACTTCTGCGTTTACCACACTACAAGTCTAAAAGGATGACATTTCATTTTAGAATATGGAGAAAGCAAACTTTTATAAAAGTTTTATAGTTAGCAGATATCCTCCTATTTAGGAATTATGTAGAGACTTGTTGCAGGAAGGTTCTTTTTATGTTGCCCAAGTTGGCCTTGAACTCATGGCAGTCTTACTGACTCAACCTTGTGAGTGCCGAAATTAAGGCATTTATTTAAATATGCATACTTATTTAAATAAGCACAACTTTCTCCTTTTTGAAAACTGTTAATTGTTAGCATGCTGCTGTTTTTCGGTTAGAAGTAAGTACAAATTCAAGAAAAATTATTTCAATGTTTCTGACTGTAATTGCGTGTTTACACCCCAGCTTTATCAGTTGTAGGAAATTACCCTGAAACTCTGAGTAAACTGTTGTCACGGATCATGGAAGTCCCAGGGCTGTTCCAGTGTCTCAGTGTATATGGTCCCTCTATTTTTGCTGCAACATTTGGGTTAGAATGTGTTGTAGAAAGATGTCCTTAGAGCCTAACAGTCTCCAGAGGAGGGATTGGGATGGGTCATCAGATTGTTACCAGAGATCTTAGTCACTTCCTCCTGAGCCTTCCAGCCAGGCCAGTAATACATCACACCCTAACTGTATGTGGCTCATGAGGTGTTAGCTAGTACAGAGTGTAGAAGGTTAACTGAAGGAGGGACTCTGCAGGTTGGAAAAGTCAACATGGTAGCAGAACTGAGACTTACCAGTGGTGTGGCTTGTAGTGTTCGCCCAACTCCCAAATAAATCATACACAGAGGCTTATTATTACTTATAAATGCCTGCCCTTAGCTTGGCTTATTTCTAGCCAGCTTTTCTCAATTTAAATTATCCCAGCTACCTTTTGCCTCTGGGCTTTTCCCATTCTCCTACTTCTGTAAATCTTATTCTTACTCCATGGTTGGCTGGGTGACTGGGTGGCTGACCCCTGATGTTTTCCTCCCTTTGTTCTCTTGTTCCTCCTCTTCCTCATTTCTCTTATTTATTCTCTCTGCCTGCCAACCCCGCCTGTCCTTGCTCCTGCCTTGCTTTTGGCCAGTCAGCTCTTTATTAGGACCCTTTGGTGTTTTAGACAGACAAAGAATCACAGCCTCACAGAGTTAAACAAATACATCATCAACAAAAGCCACACACCTTAAACTAATATTCCCCAATGGTGTCTGCTTTTGGCTCACCCAAAACTGAGACTTACCTCCTCTAAGTAACTCCTCCTGTGCTCCATAACTAAACCCAATAGACTAGCTAGTTGGCCAGGCTAGACTTGAGCAGAATCGTACTTTGCTCTGCCATCAGTCCCTGTCTGGAGTAATTAGACATTTGTTTGCATGTCTCCAGTAAATGTCAGCACATCTGGTTCTGATGTTGGTATTATGGCCCTAAGACAAAAGTCCAAGTGTTATGATTATCTTCAATCTACAGTCTCTTAGCCTTTCACAAAGCCTCAGTTCCAGAAACAGCTACTTAAAATACTTTTAAGGGGGATCAACATGGTACAAAACCAAGATACTGATTTTTTTTCTGCTTACATATTATCTAAGCCATCATTTTAGATCTTTTTGTGTGTGTGTGTGTGTGTGTGTGTGTGTGTGTGTTTGTTTTTGTTTTTTTGAGACAGGGTTTCTCTGTGGAGCCTGTTTTGGAACTTGTTCTGTAGACCAGGCTGTCCTCAAACTCACAGAGATCCATCTGTCTCTGCCTCCCGAGTGCTGGGATTAAAGGTGTGCACCACCACTGCCTGGCAGCCATCATTTTATAGCTTAAAGGCAACTTTAACTAACTACCTGTTCACAAGAAAACTGCGGAATTCACTTAATGGGTCCAGCACTTTAATGGCCTTATAGTTCAATAAATGCCTGTGGAAAAAAATGGATGGAAAGTATTATAAAAGTGTGTATTACGTCACTGTCTCCGTGGACCATGTGTAAGGTTCTCCACTCATTATTTGTAAGGGTTCTAATGTTACAGACTGTGGGACTCCAGTAAGGTTGACCTAACCACTTTGTAACTGTTTCCCACCTAAACAAAATAAAGATAAAACAGTACTTCCTCACAGGATGCTGTAGGAATTGTCCCTTAAAGGCAGAACTGGCCAACTAGAACCCACATGGCAAATCCAGGGTGCTATCTGTTTACATATGGGCTGTACACTAAAAATAATTTTAACTCTTTGAGACAGGGTCTCCTCCTTTAGCTCAGACAGGCCTTGAACTCATCAGCCTGCCTCAGCTTCCTAAGTGTTGAGATTTTAGGCATGGACCATCATGTCCACTTCTATTTTAGATTCTTGAGTCTGTAAAAAAAACTTTTATTAGAGCATAGCTGTGTTTATCTGTTGACTGAGTTTTCTATCCTGCCCGTTTCCCACAGTTGTTAAGTCTCAAAAAAAATAACACAGAGTTCTACATTAGTTATAAACTGAATAGCCTAGTAGCTCAGACTTCTTATTTACTCTTATAACTTATATTAGTCCATTATTCTTGTCTAAGCTAGCCACGGGCTTGGTACCTTATTCAGCGAGGCAGTTACATCTTGCTTGCTCTGTGGCTGGGTCAGGACTGCATACCAAGCTTTCCTCTTCCCAGAATTCTCCTGTTCTCATTGACCCACCTCTACTTCCTGTCTGGTTGTCCCACCTATACTTCTTGCCTGGCTATGTGCCAATCAGCGTTTATTTTAAATATAATTGATAGAATACAGATCGCTGCCCCACACCACTTCCCCCTCTTTTTTTTTTAAGAAAAAAAGAACTCTGAATTTAATATCCTTTGTTTAGCTTTTCTTCTGACCATTAGCCATAAAAACTTGTAACCAACATCCTAAACAAAGAAAAATATCCTAGTCCATTTTGGGGGAATGTGGGTGTAGTTTTCCAGGCTACTTCCTGATGGTTGGGGACCTAAAGAAAATTTAGAATTGTGATTAAGTCCTGACTGGAGGATCCTGTGAGTCTTGATCATCTCAGGCAGCATCTTGAATCTGTTCTGGATGTAGAACTCAGACATCTGGGTCATCCGTTCCTACCGAAGATATCTCAGGTGGTCTTCCTTGAACAAACCTCATTTTTCTTAACTCAGAATGAATCCACAACCTCTCATTTTCTATGTAAACAAAAGCAAAACCTCTTCTTTAAAGTAACATATCTTTTGACTTCAATTTTGAAGTCACAGTATCTTCAAAATACCTATCTTGGATTAACCCAGCAGTGTTTATAAATAAATATCTTTTAGCAGCTGTTGCTCCTTCCTCAGCATTCACACAATTCAAAGAAAGCACAAAACATACAGTATCCAGACTCTGTGTATTTTTCATCTTTACATGGCTTTATTTTAACCTCTATTTTTTTTATTTTTTCTTTAAATTTTTGGCTTTTTGAGATAGGTTCTCTGTGTATCTTTGGCTGTCCTGGAACTCACTCTGTAGACCAGGCTGTCCTTGAACTCACAGAGATCATCCTGCCTCGGCCTCCCAAGTTCTGGGATTAAAGGCATGTGCCACCACATCTTGAACTTGCAGAGGTCTGCCTGCCTCTGTCGTCCAAGTGTTGGGATTAAAGGTGTGTGCCACCACGCCCAACTACTCTTTTGTTTTATTTTAAGGACTTTATTCTTTTTCTTTTCTCTCCCAAGCCTGCCATAGATATTTAACACACTATAAAACATTTAGAGGTTTTCTTTGCCTTTGAATCTCTCTTTACTGTATATCTCTCTTTTTCTGACCATGTGAGTCTTTAATTTGCTAAGCAGTATGGAGAGGATTAAAGCTATGGCTTTGACGGCTACATCCAGCCCATTCCTTAGCTTTCTGAGATTCTAGCCTCATGGCTGAGGTACCAGCAAACCACAATCAAATGTTCTGTAGCTGGACCTCCTGCCTGAAAGAGTCAGAGTTTGCAGTGGCAGGAAAGCCCAGAAAGCTGGCATTTTAAAATGGCATGGCTTTTTTCCTGCTATGGCTGAAAACCAAAAAGTATGCAGTCAAGCCTTTCATCAACACCATTTAAGTATTTCATGGCAGGGCCTCTTAAAAGAGCTGCAAGGTTTTACAGCTAAAGCTGAGTCAGGAAACCTCTTTTAAATGAGAGCACTTGCCTGGAGCAAGCAGAGCCCACCTGAGAAAGTGCTGCTGTCAGTAAGCCATGCTTAACTCTATTCTTAATTACTTCCCAAACTCTCTCAGGCTTTA